TTCATGGATCATTAACACTATATGCTATGAGTAGTGTCTGTAGTATCAGTACATAGTGATTGGTACCACTCCTCTACTACAGTTAGTATTGTCCCTACTGACTGTATTTTGACTAAATTTGGTCATTTTGCAGATCCTATTCCTCTTTTATGGCAGGTTTGCTAGCCATACAAAATAACAACTGCTAGTCTAGAACCATCAATGATTCATTTACAAGTAACACAATAAACAGTGAACTTATGTACGAAGAGACACAACTTTTGTAGATTTATTAGTCTTGCTACAGCTGGACTACAGGAGAAGTGAGAGTGTGGGATACTGAACTACTCATAAGTTCCTTGGCAATGTTTTTTTATGTTCAGTTTTAGAATCCACACACACACACTTCAAACATGCATGCTTGAGAGTATGCCCACTGTCACTAATGAATATAGGATTAATAATTCAATTAAAATATTAAAACATAATAGTCAAGTACTGGAATAGTTCCTTTATCCAGTGACTAATCATTGAATTATAATTTTTCATAAATCACTGTCACTGACATAAAATAACTGTACATAGTGTTACTCTACTACTGTTATTATTGTCATTCTAGATATTTTGACTAAATTTGGTCATTTTGGAGATCCTATAGCTAAGATGCTATTTCCTCTTTTTCTATACAAAGTCATAACCATCAATGATCCATTTACAAGAAACACAATAAACAGTAAATATGTACATGTAAATAGATCTACTTATTTTAATTATGTATGACATACACAATGAGCAGTCTTAATAGTAGGATGATAGATTGCACAATAGTATAACAAAGAACAGCTTCAAAGCATGCAAGACTGAATGTAGCTTCTTCTGTAGGTATGGTTGATTTACCTTACTATAATGCTAAGGTACTGATCAGTAGTAGTAGTCTGACTGAGAGCAGGTCACAGACACAACTTCTTTTAGATTTATTAGTCTTGCTATAGCTGGACTACAAGAGAAGTGGGAGTATGTGTCACTGAAATACTCAGGAACATTATCATTATTATTAGTACGACCAAATTTGGTCATTTCACATAATGACAGTCACTTAACGCCCACACAATAAATGTACAAAATTATTATTATGACATACACATGTTAAGGAAATATATGTTATTCATAATAGTACATCATTATTATTGTTAATGTCTAAAAGTTTTCTTTTCTAAATTTAAATCCATAATATTGAGACTTCACTGATAATACTCTAGCCAGTACTGGTGACCCACAATAGAATACTGTCACTGGTCCATATCCACTCTCCTTTAGCTCTTTAAATATCTATTAATAACACATTAACCAACAACTCAATATAATTAATAATACACACACATGTATCAGTATATTACTTAAGGAGGATACTACAATAGGTCAGTGTAACGTCAATTTTTAATCAAATGTGTGGGCGGTTTGACCTTTAGACTCATGCTTTATGCTAGAGTTGAACTAAATTCTATTCCCCAGCATTAACATATAGACCTAGTGTAATATAGTAACCCAATGATTAGACACTAACCACACACTAACTGCTCCTATCCTATACATATACATGTACATGTACACCTGCTAATATTGGCGGAATATAATATACAGGTGTATTGTGTTATCTATTTATAATATTGTTGGTTGCTATATATATATTGGTACCATTTGGTGGTGTATAGTAGTCATTAAGTATTGTCGGTATAGACCAGTAATACTACACTACCAGTACTATCAGTTATACAGTATCACCATATCTCTCTTCTCTCACCCTCTCCCTCCCTCTCTCTCTCTCTCCTATATTACCTTATCCCAGTTAGGTCTACCAGTCTGTGTCCTGGTCTTCAGTC